CAATAGTTTCCGAACTCGTTTTCCGAGTTGAAAGCAAAATTTGTTGCAAATTCGTTGATCTTGTTTTTCAGTCATTTTTGACAATATCAAAATCCGACGAACGCGAAAAAGGCACTGTAAACAGAGACACGCTGCGCATGAACTATACGTCAGGCAGATGTTAGTAAGTAACCAATAGATTCGTGAGGCTTTACCGTTGACGTTTCTATCCGGCAGAGGTCACTCGAACACTATGGCGCGAAGATATAAACGTAGGACCGATACTTTCCAGACAGACCTCGTATGAGCGATTAAAAATAAAAGGGCATCGTGCGAATAAATTTTCACATAGACTATTTTATGTTTCTTTTAACGCTTTAGAAATAAGAGAAGATTGTTATCGAAGCGAAAATATCGCGTTAAATAAATTAGAATTAATAGTTAATCTTTTTAGTGATATTTTAATGATCTAATAATACTCTATCTATGACAAAATTTAGAGAAAAAGTATGGCTTTTTTGAAAAAATCAATTTTGAATTTTCTTTTAAAATGCATTTTTCCTGCTATTTATTAATATTTTTAGTTCTGTCGAATCATTTATAAGAGTGTTACAAATACTACAAAATAAGAAAATAGATCTTCTAAGGTTAACAAATAAAAAATATAGAGTAAAATAAAAAAAATTAAGAATCGACTTTCGATCAATAAAATTTCTGAAATGCACCTTCAAATGCACTTAAAAACTGCAATTTAAGTGTAATAAAGAAAAAAACAAAAAAATACAAGTTGGCTTGTTTGTAATACTTAATAATATATTACTATTCTGGCTTAATCTGAAGCAAGGCTGCCGTCGGTCTGCCTGATTTAAAATAAATTCGTTCACGTATAAACTTGAATTCAGCTACGATAGCAATATACATTCCTATCATAATACGTTTATATTTGAATTCGAGTTAACTCTTTTTATGTCATTTGAGTTTTACATTACATAAGCTGCTCGTGCGCAGTTCAATACTTTACAACTCTCCAACGAGCTTTGAGAACTAGGCGTGGTGCTGCCTTATCAAGTACATAAAACACAATAAATCTAAAAAGCCCTACTGTTTAGGTGAGGTGGAGTAAGAATTATACGCACAATGAGTAAAATGACAATTATCTTATGTATATTTATTTTTAAGTAAAAAACACATATATCGCACTTCTTAATCAACTAATTTGAAAACACAGACTCTATGGCTACAACTTATTCTTAATTTTACCGCATTATTATTACATTCACGAGTAATACAAATTCAAATGCTAATACAATGAAATTGAAAAAAATTGCTGCAACTAATTCACTATTGTTAACCGATGTAGTAAGTGGTCTGCAGAGAGACAAGGTCTTACCCACTGAACTCCCGCCAGACAAGTGCCCGTGCTCCCTCCCAGCATTCCTAATCGTTATCTTTATTCTTTGCAAATCTCAGCATCATCGTTCTTTCTTCTTTTTCATTCTTCCTTCTTTTTACTTCCCCTTATTGGCCCTGCAAGATCGTGGTCGCTACCCAATGCTGACTCAGCTTAAGGTGATAAAGTCCCACCAGTTTTATCTTAGAGAGATTCTTAGAGTCTTTTGGATCTGCCTCTTTTTGTAAGTACCACCCGAGCGTGTGAGGTAAACAATAGGGCAAGACAGAACTAATGTTTACTATGGGCCCGTGCTACATGTCTTACTTGCCTTCCTTACTTACCTCCATACATATCACTACGCTTGAACGTTCGGGATTGACGACGAGTACACGCACATATACACACACGTGCGCGCGACTCTCGATTAATTTTGATCATCGATAGATGGTGTATTTCTTCTCTCTTTCTATCTTCGTTTATATGACATTTCGCAATTGCGCACACGAATTCTTATACTATTTACAATACTTTCATACATCGGTACAATTCATTCTGAATAATTTTAATCATATTTAACATAGACAAATAACATTACTTCAAAGTTTATTTAAACTTAACATCGATGTCATTCACAACTATACATTTCTCTCAGTTTTTTCACTCACTTTTTAATCATGTATCCATGCTTTCTTCTTTTAGATTTCGTCTTCCATTCACATTTCACTCTCTTTCGCATTTAAAGTGTTTGATCGGGGCGCTTGCTACACAGTTCACGTGGAGCCGAAAAGACGACGTCGTCAATAATGGTGACTTGTCTAAATTACGCAAACGTGCTTAAACCTTTTTTTCCTTTTCTTGGAAATATTAAGTAACGGCACGTCTGTCACGATTTTATGGCCTTCCATTGAGTAAGACTATATTCAGATTTCGACAGTGTATGTACTTTATTCGAGGAATAATCTTGGTGTATCGACAACAACGAGTTTACGCGCGTGCAAACTATCACTTTTATTTTTACATATTGATTTGTATCGTGTCCCGAGAATATTTGAGATCGAACCACCGCCACGCCTACGACCATTCTATACCACAGGTACAAGGTTCAATAATTGCGCACAAACTTTTCAAGTTGCTCTTGCATATTCCAGACATTATGATCACCCATCTCGGTATACCCAATGTTACGTTACAAAACAACTAGCATTATTAGTGCGCATCGTACTTATTACGTTATTTTTGACCAACGGAATTTTTGTGAACATAAATCTTACCATTCTATTTCTCGTTACAGAATAATTATGGGAAGAGGCTTACAGTTAAAAACGCGACAGAGAGAACATTTTTCTTTCTTTTCCGCTACTAAAACCTGCGATAACCTCGCGGCTAGAATTTATATACTGGACCTTAGAATCGATCCACGTGAATGTGTTTGAGAACAAATTAAGAATTTTTTATTTAAATACATACCCACCATAATCCTATTAATATCCCCTGCATTTTACTCGCACAACAACAAACAAATCAACCAGGAAACTAACCATGCGACGAATTGATTCGCCCATGCAAGGATACAAACAACAGACAAGCAGATTGAGACAGTGGTGAACATTACATCGCATGATATATCAATATATTTGCTACCAGAAGGTATTATATATTTTCTATAGTATGTACGAGTAATGTTACCAAAGCGTGTATACTACTCGAAAATATATAAAATTGTGTATATTAGCGCTCATCTATATTGCTCGATGAGTAGACCAACTAGCTCGAGTTTGAAAGTCCAAACGTGTACATCGAAACTTTTATTTTTGGTAGATCAAAGTTCTACACCTATGACGGTATCGTTTACCATAGCGGTTCACCAATAGACTGCTGTAAAATCACGTTGAATTACGTGAACTGACTGCATATAAATTTAAATAGCATAAGAGGATTTATCGAACGTATCTTTGTTATCACAAAGACGATGTCGATGTCAATATTTTTAATGTGAACAATATTCTTTAATGAAACTTTTGGATCGTCATTCATCTATCATAGCACTCGGTTGCACCTGACTGTTGCTCTTAACCGCTTATATGATTTTACACTAGTATTCTATGCTACAAACTTGATCAACTGGTACAAGAGTGCAGGAGCCAAGGAAATTCACGACTCAATCGCCAAAAAGTCCTGCTTGAATGGACTTGGTGATTGTTGCAGTTTATCTCAATAATACTAGACAACAGTTATTATATCAATATTTTCTCTTATTGGGTTTAACAAATTAAGTTACGAAATGTTCAAATACCCTTTGCAACTGAAGCATCGTACAATCAGTTTTCAATTATTTACAACTACATTGTTAGGATGACATTATTTTGGTCTAATTAACCTACCTTTTTCTACTATATAAAGAGAACAAACCATCCAGTTTTCAAATAGCTTTATCAGTACAAAGAATTATCTTTTAAGCTTTTAGTCAAGTAATTATTTTGGAACTGAAATCAAATTATTTCCATGGTTTTAAAAATCATCGGTTGGTATTAGCAACTAATGAAAATGCAGAATTTATTTTTATTTTTGTACTTGTCAACTCACCAGTTAACGATTGTATGGCCATGAATATTTAAAATAATTATACACAATAAGAGAGTTTCTCATTGCATTTTCTTTTAGTTTTATCTCATATCATAAGAGGTTCTCGTAATCTATGTCTAACCCTAATAACAGTCCATGCAAAGGTCCATCAAACAGGGGACTATATTGCAGTACATAGAATATTGCTATACCGTAAGAATTTGATATTCTACACTTACGTCAAATAATTTGTATAGTTTCTAATACCATAAATCCTATACTTCTCGAGCTTAAACTAAAACCTTATAGTTTGCAAGTTTCAAGCTTAAAGTTTATTGTGCATCAATGCTATACCACAAACATGTTATACTTTTCGATCTTTATTATTCATGAATATTAAATTCATAAAATCTTTTATTCTGCACGCTTACATCTACAATAGTCTGACATCTAATTTCGAATCATCGAATCCTTATGTTTTGCGACCCTTAAACGTATCACACGTAATCTTTGAATGCTTTCAAGAGCACTATTCTTCGAGAATATGTGAGTAACAAAATAGCTTTGCATTTTAAAAAACAAAAATCCTGTTATCTGAGAGCTTATACTAATGGTAGTTTGCTGTCAAATTTTTAATACTAAAAACCTTGTGCAATGTGCGGGCTAATCCCAAAACTAATTAACTACGAATATTATATCTCAGGAAACCAATATTCTGTGAATTTAAAGTCTACAACATTTAAATTCTAAATGCTTAAATCCTAAACGCTTTATTCTCCAAGCTTACCACAACGACAATTTACAAATGAATATAAATATAAAAGTTCTGTAGCTGGCGAATTGCAAGCCTACGGTTTAATAACTACAAATACTGTACCTCAAATATTTTGTACTTTGTCAACTTCAAATTAAGATAGATCGGTCGTAGTTTTGTGCGATTTAAGCGACGGGTGTAGGTAAATAAGGTTTTATACTGTATATTATCTGTTTTATTATCGAGTTTTCATAACATTGACTCAAAAATAAGTCGTTTTCATTCATTGTTATTTATTAGGAAAATTTAACTTATAACGTTGAAGCATAGCAAGATTTCTTGTTAGATAACAAAATTTTATAAAAATAAATCGATTTAATTATAAAACGAATAAATAAAACTTTAAAGGTAAATATTATACAGTTCCAAATTATCATAATATTTGACACATAAAACATTCATAAGTTTTATTCATCTTATACATAAAAAACTATTTTCATTATTGGATCTTATACTTTCTCCGGTGTATCGTTTACATAAAAATGATAGGAAATAATACTTTGTGTTATATGTTTCCTATAACTCTTTATAAGAAAATAACAGAGGTTTTATATGCGTACAGCAGTAATTTTTTAATTTGTAAGAAAATATGACATCAGTATATTATAAAACAACATAAATTACAACCTATTCATATTGAGGCAATCATTATGTACAATGATTTTGATCTGATTATTGAAACTTTTTTAAAAAGAAGATAACACCGAATGATTATAACACAAAATTTATCAGTTTAAAAAATGATCAACACTTTAAATAACTAGATAATAAACAAAAGTCAAAAATATAAGTAATGAGATATTTATATATGGTTCATCCGTTTTTTTATAATCGTTGACAACCGTTAAAAATCAAAATTCTCACTGTACGAATTTGTGGAATGGTCTATATTTTTTGGTATAACGAAAGTGAATACCGAAAAAATCAATGATTTGATTCGACAACGTCACTGAACAACGGTGTCAATGTATCGACATCTTGTAATTGACCAAAGTTTGTTAGAGAGTCCAAGTCATCAGTCTCGTTATTAGGTAGATCTGGCTCTAAAAAATCGGTCACATTACACTCCTTATTGGTCGGGCAAGCACTACCTATGTGACAAGTAGTATTATCTTGAATAGATAATGGACCGAGAGTAGGGCTACAGAGCATAGGTTCATTTATTCCCAAATAAAAACATGATGAAGAGTTTAATGATTGCAAAGAATGCATAGGTGTACTTGGTTGAGACTTGGAAACATTATTATCGTCGAAACAGTTTTTATTTAAAGATGAATTCGTCAATGGTAACGGCGTGTTTGGATATGATCTAGAAGAGATACTTTTAACAGAATGATTTGAGACGCAAGTACCATCATCACCAAACCATCTTGGTGTTAAATCAGAACTAAGGACCGTCTCATTAAGAATCTCAACCGAGTCGATAATCGCATGTTTAGATTCTTCTTGTTCTGCGTATTCAATTGCATCGTGAGAATGTGATATATCAATCTTTTCATTACTTGTATTTAATAGTCCGAACATATTCAAATTGCTAGGAATAATATATTTGTCGTCAAGAGATAATTTGGTCTGCATGGTACTTGAATTAAAGTCGCTCGAATCACCAAGAACTGGAGTTATAACTTGGGGTATATTAAGTTTATGTGGTAGGCTAAGACATGGAATGGGAGTTGGCGTTGAAGTTGGGGTCGGAGTAGGCGTAGGAGTTAAAGTTGGCGTTGGGGTTGGAGTAGGAGTCGGAGTTAATTGATGAGTAAGTATAGGCGAAAGTAGAGCTGGATTGACCATTCGATGTAAGGGCACTGATTGAGAACGGTAAAATAATGACTGATCCTTAGAAAATGATAGTTGTTTTTCGTTCAACAAAAGATCACTGATTTCTTTGTCGGTTGGCTGGAACTGCTTATTTGAGACATTTTTTATTTCTTGAAGATTTTCTTGACTTGGATAGTTAATAAGCAACTGTGGTTCTTGAGAAGTAAGGTCTGAAAGAAATGGATGAGTTATACAAGAATTAGTGAACGTTAACGACTCATTATTAAGCACTCCTATCGCTGAGACTGCTGTCATTTCTGGTATTATTAATGGATTTTGTTCAATAAAATCATCTACGTTGCAGGACGAGTTCGACCGTGGAATATTCTGCTGTTGGGAAGAACGTGCTCGCCAGCTTGAACTTCTTTGAAGATTACTGCGTGAGCGAGGTATCGGCGTGTTTCGTGGTGATACAAAGGGACTGCCGTCAGCAGAATTACATTTTGAAACACTGAAATTTATGGGAGAATGACTTGGAGTTGGTGAGATGGGGGTAAAGTCGAATATTCGACGACGTGTGTTTGGGCTACAAGGTATAGTGATGCTGGCAAGAGTATCAGCAATTATATTGCTGCTGCTGATATTACCTGTAGTTTGAGTGCATTGCTCGGTTAATTTAACATCGAAACTGACGTGTCTCCGATTGGCATTTTGATGTACGAATGAAGCAGGAATCTCTTGAAGGCTTTTTATATTTTTTTTTTTTAACTGCTTGTTCGGGATTTCATCTTTATTAGATTTACATGACGTTGGTGTCAAGTCTTTCAGATTATTTTGTAAAATTATTCTTAACTGCGATACCTTATCTTGTCTTGAGCTCTTCGAACTAATATCAACGACTTCACTTACTTTGCTTAGTTCCGCGTCTGAGCTAGACGAACTGTTTTGCTGAAAATACTGTAGCAACTCTTCTTCTTGTTCCTGAGAATTGTGAATGTTTAGATAATCTTCAATAATATTATCACATTTTAAGCGAAGTTGCTTTTGCGAAAAGCAGAAATTTTCATTATTGAATAATTGGTTCGACTTATTTAGTAAATTGGATCCTTCGGATCGACTGGTCGATTTAAAGTAATTTTTAGAAGATAGTGATTGATTTTTATCACAGCTTGTCAAGGGCTGATCGTTACTACTTTTAGTGTTCTTGGACACTTTTGGATTTATAGCTAATATCATTGGGGTCTTCCTAGTTTGCATTTCGATAGGAGTTGAAGAATTAATAGATTTTAAAGAGACTGAGGATGCGAAGCTATGGATATTACTCTCCTTATCGATAAATTTTAACGCCTTTTCCGGTATTCGCTCACCAATCTCAGATAGATTAGGTGCACAACTGTTAGCACGTTTTCGAGTTTTGTTTGAAGATTCTTGTTTCATTAAAATCTTTTCACGCCATGGTACCATATCATCTGACAAATTAGGTTCTTTATATTTGACTGCTTGAACTTTTCGCATATCACAAATAGACAACGGAGAGCTACAATATCGTTTATTTATTTGACGAATTTTCCTTTTTTGATTATATGAAGGTATGTTTATCTTACTTATTTTCATTAACATATTTCTAAAATTTTTAGTCTCGAGTTGATTTGAATTAGAATCTTTATTTCTATTACTGTTCTTTGTTTCTTTTTCCATATTACTAACTTGACGGTTGTATCTATTTTCATACTGAAATTACATAGAGTGATGTGAAAATTAACTCATGTATTACTACATAATATCGTTCATAATATTTACCTCTGAACTACAAGATATTTGATATTTGTGATCACGTTGCTGAATTTTACGTTGTAACAGCAATTGAGTATCTCTGAATTGTGCAATTTTTCCAGAGGCAGTTGTTTCAGGCGATCCGAGATCAATATCTGTAATGATATAGGTTACATTATTTATTCATGACAAAAATAAAATAAAAATCAATAAATCATAACACACGCATACTCGGATACACGCACACGCACGCGCATACAGATATATCATAAAAAAGATTCCACTTTTCCTTTCTACAATGATATTCTTGTGTTTATATAGTTTCTAAATTAAACGATATAATTAGCATTGGAAACTATACTATTTATAGTAAATTTTATGTTTATAGTAAAATAAACAATTTATAAATTTTCAATGAATACTAATTAACTCATAAATGTTGCTACGTGAAAAATCTATAAACCAAAAGTCTTATAAAGTTATTATCAAAATTGTTCAGACAAAAGTTATTCAGGACAATGGAGGTTAGCCGTTCGTACAATTGGTTTTGACCTTAAAATTAAATTTCACGGTCATTTCAAGATCAAAGTGAGTTTTTAAATTAAAAGTTTTATTTTAGTATCCCAATTCAATAAGAGTGGGAAATTATACGTCCAAAATGATATTTACAAATTTCTTTTCATGACCATGTGAAAGTCATTTTAATTTGGGATTCTACGAGGGTGGTCCGATAAGTACTTAGCCTACAAAAGAAAAACGAAAATTTTGGAAAAGTGGCGTTTTATTTTTCAACATAGTCTCCTTTTAGTTCCATACACTTGGCCCAGCGATGCTCCAACTTCTTCAACCCGTCTGAAAAATACGTTTCCTCGAGGTTTGAAAAATAGGCTTCCGTGGCAGCGATTACCTCCTCATTCGACTCAAATTTCCGTCCGGCGCGTGACTTTTTCAAATTTGGAAAGAAAAAGAAGTCGCACCGGGCTGAATCTGGAGAATACGGTGGATGGGGCATCAGTTCGTAGCCTAATTCAACCAATTTGGCCATGGCGACGGCGGAGGTGTGAGTCGGTGCGTTGTCATGGTGGAAGAGTACTTTTTTCTTCACCAAATGGGGCCGTGTTTTCTGCAATTCGACGTCGAATCGGACAATAATTCGGCATAGTACAGCCCTGTGACCGTTTTGCCCCTCTCCAGGTAGTCGATGTAGATCACACCATGTGAATCCCAGAAAACGGTGGCCATCACCTTTCCGGCCGATGGAGCAGCCTTCGCACTTCTTCGGAGCACTTTCGCCGGGTAAAGTCCACTGTTTCGACTGTTCCTTGGTCTCTGGTGTATACCAGTGGATTCATGTTTCGACGACTGTCACGAAACGACGCAGAAACTCCTTCGGATTGCGCTTAAACAGCGTCAGACATTGCTCTGAAGTCGTCTCACGATTGCGCTTGTTGTCCGCAGTGAGCAAACGCGGTACCCATCGCGCCGACAGCTTATTCATGCCCAAAATTTCATGCAGGACATGACCCACGCGATCTTTTGAGATGCCTACGATCTTAGCTATCTCGCGCACCTTCAATCGTCGATCTGCCAATACGAGATTGTGAATTTTTGTCACGTTATCCTCCGTGGTAGCCGTTTTCGGCGCACCTGGACGTGGCTCTTCAAAAATCGACACGCGACCACGTTGAAACTCGTTAAACCAATTTTTGACGATCTCCATCGAAGGAGAAGTCACCGTATACAGCATCCAAGCGCTTTTTGATTTCGCTGCGCCATTTCCCTTCCATAAACAAGAATCGAATCACCGACCGATACTGCTCTTTTTCCGTTTTTCAAAAATCAACGGATACACTTGCTTTCACACGCTCTCAAAAATAAACTACAACTCCGATCCGGCTGAAATCTTGACAGTAACCATCGAGAAGGTTGTACTACGTGATAGAATATTTCTTTTGCGAGAGTGGCGCCATCGGGCGATGAGGCTAAGTACTTATCCGACCACCCTCGTAAATATACTATGTAAAAACTAGTTACTTTCTAATTTTCTGATGGAACAATTTTTTTGTTTCTTGATTTTCACAGCAATCTGTACGTTAAAGATGCATTTGTTACATACTAAGTAAGTTTTGACAACTTAAACTAACTTGACCTTTAAGGCAATTTTCAAAGGTAACAAAAATCTACGCTGTTTTTGTTGATAAAAAAGATGCAAGAAATAGAAACATATTCATCTTATTTCTAGCGTTAACGAGAAACAACCATGAGAACAACCAGAAGTGTTCGATCACTCTCAATTTTTGAGATATCCTAACTTAAAAACGCCAAAAACACGTTTTTCTACTACTTCTCAACTCCTGTAATTTTGTAAAGAATTTTTTTTTGCAAATTTGACAGAGATATGACACATTGAAGCGTGATAATTTCGCAGCTTCTGAACTGTCGTTCAAACAGGAAGGTTTGAAGAATAGAATGAAAGATAACACAGGTCGACAAAAATAAAAAAATTTCTGAACCAGAAACGAGACTTTACGTACCCGCAGGATTTTGATGCACTAAATCCCAATCTGGTATCCTTAGATGATCCAAGAGTTGAGGGAATACGATATACCTTCATGTATAAAGATATTTTCTTGTTCATCTTCTTTTCAGGATCAATAATAGGGCTATTTTGCATTTTGAGGTTAGGAACTTTGAGGTTCTGAAGTAATTTTAACATTCTACATAGATTCTACGTCTAATAGAACATAAATATACTATAACGGTTCATATATCAATTTGCCTAGTTTTCAAGGTCCTAGTGAAATTTCGAAAATACTTAAATTTTAATCTTTGATATCTCAGTGAAAAAAATGAAGTATACAATTTGGAGACAGAGTTTTGTACGATAATAGTTCTGTTTTACTAATACAGAGGGAGAAAAACAGGATTTCAATCACTACGAATGGTTGAAAAATCTTTAATGTTAAGGTAAGAAAGAACATAATAAGAATAAGAATAACTTATAATGTATAAGAAAGAATATATCCGTTCTCTTTGTCGAGAACAGGGAAATTAGATCAAATCAAACTTTCGGGAGCGAGTTTTCTTGATAATAGTAAAGCTCCTGTTAATAGTAATATTGGGTCTAATGTTTCCACTATACGTGCATATAGGGTTCGGGTTCTTCGAAATTATGAAACTTCTAAATTTCATGGCAGTGTTAATGGAAAATCTTGGATTTTTAAAATTGATTCAGATTCAGATTTATCGATTATCAATCCTCGATTTCTCGGTCCTCATGATTCTTGATTTGCTCTTTATAGTAAACCTTTGAAGTATCCTACTGTTGAAGATGTTCCTGTTAAATTTAAAACTTTTTTCAAGATTAATTTATGTCATTTTTTAAATGGAATACTCGTTTTTGTAGCAGATATCGCTATACTTATACTGTATTCTTGAATGTGACTATTTGAATAAATCTGGTATATTCAATTCGATAAATAAAATTTTAAATAAATTCGATAAATAAAATAAGAGAATAACTAAAAAAATTTAGATTCTTCACGAAAAGGTAAATTTGCTCAATTTCTAGTAGATTATTAAGATATTTTTTATCAGGATGTTGCAGGAAAATGTACTCTTATGGAACATAAGATTGAATTAAGCGATTCTCATCCCATTAAACAACAAGTTTGTTCCGTTCCATTTCATATTCGAACAGAAATTAATCAGATAATGAACGATGTGCAAAAACAGAGTATTACGTAGGAATTTTCTAGTTCTTGGTGCCCCCTCTCCCTGTTGTTTAAAAAAAGAAAAAGGTATGGAACTTGGAGATTTTGTACTAATTTTCGTAAATTAAATGATAGGACTATCAAAGACTCTTATTCATTACCTTGAATTAATCGTACTTTAAATAAGTTAGCTGATAGATCTTGGGTTTCTACGTTAGATTTAAAAATTGTATATTGACAGGTTAAAATCCGCCCGGAAGGTCGAGAAAAAACAGCATTTTCCATTGGTAATAGTTTATATCAATTTATTTTAATGGCTTTTGAACTTTGTAATGCTCCGGCTACTTTTGAACGATTGATGGTATTTCGAGATTTTCTGAATGATATTTATTTAATTTATATAGATGACGTTATGGTTATGGTAAAATATTTTGATGAAATATTTGTTAATTTGTGAAAGGACTAATAGCGATGTTCGCTAGCCCTGTGTGCGGCACTCTCCTCGCACGGATGTAGCGGCCGAGCGTGACTATGGTTGACATAGCATTCATGCGCTCGTGTTATTGCAGGGCCTGGAGAGGGGAGAGCGCGGCCAGCGGAGAAGACGGCGCGAGAAAGAGCGAGAGCGCGAAGAGCGTGAGAGAAAGCGAGAGGAGGAGGAATAAGTGAGAACGCGGAAAGCGCGGCTCTCGCCGCGAGAATTATGAGAGCGGAGAGAAGTATTGAGGGCAGTTGAGGAGGACCGTACGCTAACGAGGTCACGGCGCGAAGTGAGTTTGGACGGCGCGCCGACGGAGAGCGAGCCCAAGACGAGTGAGAGAGGCTTTGTGTGGCGAATCTCCGGCTGCTGTTTGAACAGCCCCACAGCGATCACGATTAGGCGATCGAGGAGCCGATCCCGACCGCCAACCAGCCACCGCCGGTGGTCCAGCGATCACCACTGCCAGCGGGACTGCGGTGTCATCGATGTCGCCTCTCCACCAGCGAGCCGCGGGAGGAGCTACCTGGTGGGTTTCTTTCTGCTATTGTTCCGCGACCTCACTCTCACGTGCCAGCTCTCGCCCGGCGTAACGCCGCGAATTGAATTATCGCGCTTGATAGTTGAGCGAATCCGCTTCTAAAATATTATAGACTCGTCGCGTATGATAGTTGAGCGACTACGCTCCTATTCGTAACCTACTGTCGCGTTTCGTGGATTGAGCCAGCGCGCTCAACATCGTGATTTTGTAAGAATCCGTAGATGTAATTTTCTATGGCGTAAAGAAAGGGATCGCCTTTCTGTATTTCTTTCGATTTCTTCCGTGCACCTTCCCTGTCATCACGGCAGATTAACACCCGTGAAAGTCAGCGCCGGCTACCTTCACTGGAATAGGACCCTTCAATATATCGCAAGGGGTACAGCAGTGGCGCACTTGGCTATGTCTTTGAGAACATTTCTTCCC